CTGGTGAAGGTATTGTGTGAGAAGCACATGGTATGAGATCTTAAAAATAAACAAAATCTTAAGCAGACTAAATTTGGCAATTTTAAAAAGGTAAGAGATAGGGATGGGGGTGGTATCAAGTGTCAGCAAGGATGCGGGATAAAGGGCATCCTTTGTATATACATGTGGGGATAGAAACTGATAAAATATATCTAAAACTTGAATAATGTTCATATTTTTGGTCCAGCAATTACACTTCAAGGAAATTATCCTAAGGAAGTTAATAAGCAGGTACCAACTATTTATGCACAAACACAGATGTATCTGGGTAAAAAAAAAAAACATGGTATGTTTTCTCTGGGTAACTAGATTACAGGTGTTTCTAATTACTTCTTATGGTTATTTTCTAGTGTTTCTCTAATGAAAATATACTGTTTTTACAAGAAACGATTATATCAGAGTTGTTTTTAATTTAAAAAAAATTTAAACAGGTTTTAGAAACTGGTAACCATAGCGCAAGATTTTTGAGATAACAGGAAAGAGCAGACATTGCCAAGTAAGCTCTTGGCCCTTAAGGCAAATCGTTGAGATTGGTCAGAGATCACTACCAGCTATAGAAAGTCTTCGATTTAATCTCTGCACACTGGCACCTACAAACAACGTCACACCAGGTTTACTCAGAGATGCAGCTCTGACCACCTCCAGCTCCCAGAACACTCTCAGCCTTTTGAAGCCTATAAAGGGAACGGCACAGAATGCTGGTTAGAACACAGTAGTTAAGGGTCAAGATAGCCCTGTGTTTGAATCTATAGTCCACACCTAGGCAAATTATCTAACCTCTCAAAGCCTATTTTTTTCTATAAAATTGGGATAATAAAACCTACCTCATAGGATTACAGGAAAGATTTAATGAGATAGTTTATATGTTTAGCACTTACCAAATGATAGCTATCAACAGGATGACACCTGCTCACCTGCTCCAATAACTAGGTGCATAAGGAAGTTGTTTCTGGGAGTCAAAATTTACTTGGGAGCTTGGAACCTTTATACAACATCCCTACTACGTTAACTCTGATTTGCTTAGTTTATTATCCATTAGCTAAATGTGACATGTGAACGCTTGCATTTATTCTGCAGTATCAATTTTCAGTTCACAGTTTGATACATTCTTAGTCCCATAACTCCTATTTTGTTTATTAATTCCATTCTCAAATGCCTAACCTGTATCTTGCTAATACGCTGGGTATATTGTGAGGTTTCTCTTTTAAAACTAGTTTTAAAATTCGCCAAATATAAGTTATAGTAGTTTTATTAGGGTGGTAAGATTATTTTGTTCACTATTTTCCTAAACCATCTATGATGTTTTATTAATCATAACAATACTTTTTAAAAATAGAACGAATGCACCGTTAAATCCAACTTTAGGCTATGTTTTTGGAGATATTATCTGGCTTTATTATAGCTCTCATTCAAGATTCCATCCACTTAGATAACTATAATAGCAGCACACATGTGCAAAATGGCACGAGCTGATCTTTGTATGTCAAGGTTAAATGTTGGTACTTAAAGGTAGGAAGGCTTACTTGTTACAAAAAGTTACCTGCTGGGAAAACTATTATCAGAATGGTACATCTCAGCAGAAGCTAATGTCCTCCTACAGGCTGTGGGAAAATACTCAGGATTTAATAGTAAAAATATTTAGGAAAAGAATTGAGAATCTTAATTCTCTCCCTTGAGGAATGACTGAAGAGTGCGGGCTCGGATTACATGCTGGTTAATAATGGAACAGGCAGAAAACAGCACTCATCACAGGCATCAGACCTGAAAAAAGAAAGTGAACTAAGTCTGTATTTCAGCAAATTCAAGTGGAGTAGAACAAAAATTAATTTTACTCTACAATTTTTGTAGGAATTAAATCTCTTGAGATAATTGGGAACATCCTGGAGTTCTACCCACAAAAATAGAGAGGCACAGAGATCACTACCCTGAAAAAGATATTTAACATGATGGAAGACTCATTCTGTCCCGGCTCCAAGTGGTATCAGAGTTAACGTGTCTTGTGAGTAGAAATGCCACTGGGTGTTAAGAGTCATATGCATTACCAGAAGGGACCTCAGAGATCACCTAATTCAACCACCTCCTTTTCCAGATAAAGAAACCAAGTACTTCCCTCTAAGGAAGTGGCTCACCCAGCCTGGCACATTAACTAGCCAGGGGTTAAGAGTCATAGGCATTACCAGAAGGGACAGCAGAGATCACCTAGTTTAACCACCTCCTTTTCCAGATAAAGAAACCAAGCACTTCCCTCTAAGGAAGTGGCTCGCCCAGCCTGGCACATTAACTAGCCACCTACTGTCAGAGAGGGAACTCAAACCCAGCGGTGCCCTTGCTTCCCAGTGCAGGGCTCACTTCCCTCTGACAACTCTGGCTCTCTGCAAAGATTTCCTGTGCAACTGGTACAAAACACTTCACCTCTCCACTTCTCTACCTGTAAAGCGGAAGTGAAGATACCTGGCTCCTGAGGAGAGGAGGGGACGCAGGGAAGGGGAATGCACAGAGCGCTATTGTTAGGACTGAAGCAGCCAGCATATACCTGCCATATTCCACTGGCCAAAATCCTTCGGGTAGATGCCACCTCAGAAAAAGTCTGAAACCATTAAGACAACTGGTATAGTTTGAACTCAGGAAAAATGAGGGGGATAACCTATGGACTCTCTGGTTCTCGAGAACTTGCTCTTTATTTTACACCTCCGTGTTGTCTTAATGATCCTAATTCACAGAGCTCTTGTGGAATGAGGTGACACTGCCCACATTGAGTACAAGATCTCAGTCCCCAGAAGATGGCTGAAGAACCTGTTGCCATGAGCTGGAGGCAAGGGTCCTCCCTGTGACAGGTGCTTGAGTGAGTCACAATGACCAGAGGACAGAAACAGCAGGGAAAGGAACAGAGTTCGGGAACTCAACAAGGGGGAAACCATTCTCAACGGTTTTGATCAAAGGACCTTTTTTAAAAAAAGCACTTATCAAAATGAATCATTTTGTTTTTGGTGAAACTTGGAATTTGCAAGTTGAAGTATCAGGGAATAGTTCCATGCCTGTAGGCATTTAACCACCTGCTCTCAATTATGTCTCACAAGCACCCTATAAGGCAGTAATTATCCCATTTTACAGATGAAATAACAAGCAGCACAAACTTAACCGAACTTATTTGGTGACACAGATTCAATCTCAGTGATACTTACCAAATTGAATTTTTTGAAAACAATCCTTACATATTGACACTTCATTTACCCAGGAGAGTTAAGAAATAAGGGAGCATAACTTTTAAAGATACAACATATTTCTCTAAGCCCTATAAATTACTTTAACTATTTCAGATGGCAAACCTAAATGGAAACAAACTTCTTTTGGAATGAAGTAAGTATTTTTTTTTTTTCTGATGACTCTGGGTCATCATTGCAACCTCAGCACTATGTGGCAACGGCAATGCCCTCAGGGGCCACTGACCTGTAGATGAGCCTCTGCCCCAGGAGCCTCTTTCAGGTTCCCCCACAGGAATCACAACCTCTTGACAATGAGTAAGAACCTATTTTTAAACTTCTTTTATGTTGCTCTAAGTTTTTAAAAACTCAATTGTAGATCCATTGAGTTCTTGAGTAAGTTATTTTAATACAATTAATATCTATTGTGGCTGCCGAAAACACTCTTCTACCTTGTCTTCTACTTTCTATTCTTTTGTTGGCTTGCAGAGAGCTGAACTTGGTATTATAGGTTATTACCAAAATGCTGGGTGCACCCAGTTACTCTCCCACTCTGTGCTTCAATTTTCTGAGGAGTGAAGGATAGCGAGTAAGAGTCTTATTGACAAAATGTTTGGCCTTTCTGGAACAGAAAGGAGACCCTAAGAACTCCTAGCTTTTTTTCATGCCAGTACCCCATGCCAGTACCCCATGTCCTCCTGACACTGTCATGGCCCCTCAATGCCTATAGCTCTTATTTTGTGTGCTCTCATTTGGTTTATAATTATACTATTTTTAGGATACCCGCTGACACAGTAGACACATTTCCTCAGCCTGCAGGCCTCAGAAGCATGAAGTCTTATTTTTACACCCACTGTTGCACCCAACACGTCATACTCATCGCCAGTGTTCAACTGTCAAACTCCTTCTGGTACTGCTACTCTTTCCTTTGGAACTGTGTTCTCTACATCACTTCCAAAAGGACTCGGATATCACATCTGTGAAAAAAAAAATCACAAAGATGAAACTGAACTCAATTTTATCTTCCCTTTAGGAAAAAAAAACTTAGGCCATGAGAAACCAAAGAAACAATGCCTCATGGCTTCAAGGTGAGGGGCTCCTCCCAGCAAAAGGCAGAACGTACCTCAACAATCTTACAGCTGAGAATCCACACAACCTCCTCTCTTCAGAGTGGCTTCTAAGCCATGTGACCCAGGCCCCCATAAGGTCACACATTTTTTTTCTTTTTACTTAAGTAACCTTAAATGTTCTTCTGAAGCTATTCAAACCATACAACAGTAGACGAGAAGTACTGCCCTGACCCCTCTACAAACTTCTGAGTGAACTAACAAATCCCAAGAGCTGGACACCCAGGGATAAGTGGCTTCACAAGAATCCTGTAAGGAGAACTCTTTATAGGCAAAACACATGATTTTGAGGTGTCCGATATATCAGATATTGTTTCTCCATGATGGGGATTTGATTCAGGCTCTGAAAAGGCAGGCAGAGGGTCGGTTCTTCTGGACTTTCACTCATTGGCCTCCTGTGCCCATTTAGCTATTTCAAATTGGCAAGGCTTGATTTGCATGATTTTGTTAAGTGCTGGTGTCACTGAGGAAGAAAACTGCCTAAGGACCTAACCCCCATAGTGTGCACAGCAGCCTACTGCCACCTTGTGGTGGCCTGGTGAAAATGTGGGAACAGCAAATCTTGCTGGGCAGTGCTTTCCAGGAAAACAAAATTAAATGTGTCTATAAAAGCACACAATAATAAGGTCACATGCACAGTATAAATGTAACTTTATTCAATGTCTTTGATACTTAGGTCAAAATTACGGATTAGTCTTAACTGGTGCAATTGCAAAGAAAAGCTTTCCTGACCTTCATGACTGGCCTCCGAGCTTCTCTCCACCAGCATAAAACGACTGAAAGCCTGTTCTAGACCTAAGTGCTCGAGAGGAAATAAAAGCCAACAAACACAGAAAGGATGAACAAAAACCAGCTGTGCCGCCCCTCCACCCTCAAAATACTCAGTCATATGCTATTTACAGCAAACAAAGGTTTGGTTTTTTTGTGGGGTAGGGAGTATGATCCAGTCTTTTGCAATGAAGAGGCAAGAGTCTTAGTCCTTCTCCACTTTCTTCTCACTTTATCTCATGGCAGCTTTCATTCCCAAAGCTTCCACTGAGTCCTGATTCAGCTTCATCACATGTCCCTCAACTTCAGTTCAATTAAACACTGTTATTCATGGAATAAAGGTAAACACCAGGATAAGAGGGAGGGAGAACTGGGAGATATTTTCTTGGCAGAGCCCCAAAGTACAGAGATGAGGCCTCCTCAGATGAGGAAGACGATGCCCTCAGACACCATGACCTGGTTGTCGTCCTGCATCTTGCTCAGCGCTGCCTGAATCTCCGCTGAAGAGAAGGGCTCTTCTTTGTCCTGGTTGATGGATTCTGTGAGGCGATTCATGCCCACTGACTGTGCATGAGCTTCCTGGAACACCTCCAAGAGGGCCACCTTGAATGCCTTTAACCTGCCCAAGACAGGAAAAAAGGGTGAAGGAGGAGTAAACAAACTCAAATGCTTTCTGGCAAGATCTATGTTGGGACAATTCACGATGTCAATACAGTAGTTGTCCTCTTATATACCCTGCCTCTGCTGGCTTCTCCAAGCCCAGCTTCCCTTCTTTAAGCTAAACTGTTATATTATAGAGCTTCCTTTACATTGAGAAATAATAGCATTTTAAAAAATAAGAGGCCTGACGAGCAGGGGAAAAATGGCGTAGATGATAGAAGCTCTGTTCATCCCTCTGGCAATCAAATCAAAGTTGTGACAGAAACAAGGAGCAAACGAGGAGCAAACGAGGATTTTTCCCAGGCAAAGAAAAATCGCCTAGGAGCTGGATGAACAAGCCACACAACCAGGAAGCAGTCTAAGAAATCAACCTGCAACAACAGAATGTAGGACGGGGCGAGGACAGGAGGCTGCTCAGTCTTCAGCCGCTGAGTGGGACAGAGGCCACAGCCATGGCAGCTGCAGATACCTCTCAAAGGGGCCACGTCCCTGAGCAGACTTCTGCGGTGACATACCTGCTCGCTCTGAGCACCAGTGCCAGTTCAGCTGTGCAGGGACTTACAGGGCGACACTGAATTGTCTAAGCAAGGGCCTCAGTGAGGCTCTCTCCTGGAATAAGTGCCGGTGGTATCCATTGTTCCTCTGTTGAGCCCTCCCCACTCCCAGTTCACGGACTCAGTGTCACTATAGCTGAGATGTCATCAAACTGGATAACAGAGGTCGCTCCGCCCAGAGGATTACTTGAAACTCTGCCTCCTCCAACTCGCACCCCCACCCAAGCCACATCCAGGTGTATCTTCAGTGAGTCAAGTGCTCCTTGCTGAGCAGCGCCTAGACTCACACTGGTGGCAGATGGCCTCAGTTTCTGGTGTGGCCTTTTGAGGCAACTATAAGCACAGCATTTGTAGATTGCTTGCTGAATCTTTTTCTTTTTTTTTTTTTCTTTTTTTTTTTTTTTTAAATAACAGTCATTGCTGTTCTAGGAAAGGTAGTGGCTGCTGATGGAAGTGCAAACTGGTCCAACCAGTTTAACAGACTTAAAAATGTTAAAGTTTAGATATTTAGGTACTGGGATGTTTATTTTAGTT